GGGGGGAACCCTACAGGCGCATGCCCAGCAGGAATGGGCCCTCCTGCTGGTTGAGGGTCCAGGGAACCCAGGAGATGAGCCCCAAGGTGGAGGGACTTAGATTTGCCCTGTTCAGTGACTGAGACCCATTATAGTATCCTGAGCAGGACAATGCCTTTTTCTTGGTCTGTTTTTAAGGTAGATAAGAAAGACTTTTGGAAATTGCTATTTTTAAATGCGTATTTATTTGTTTTTACAGTTGGGGATTATATACCGTGACATTAAGCTTGAAAATATTCTGCTTGATTCTAATGGCCATGTGGTGCTGACAGATTTTGGTCTGAGTAAGGAGTTTGTGGCTGATGAAGTGAGTATTATATTTTAATTTAAAATTAGTAATAATAATATAAACAATGATGAAAAATTAGCTACAGAATAAGCATTTAATGGGACAGTACCATATGGATTATGGATCTTTGGCATGAATGACTATAAAGACTTATAGTTTAAAATTACCATGGAACCATCCTGTTAGAATTGCAGTAAACCTTTGATGAATATATCAGAATTCCCCAGTTGAAAACAAAAGTATACATTTAACTTTCCCCATAAAATATAACTGAAAAATTTAAATAACTCATTGGGGCCTTTAGGAGAATTCTGACATAAGTGGTAGCCAATAAAGAATTAGAAAACAAAGCACATACAGTTACATTATAATTACAAAGTAGGACATGTCCTGTTGTGATGGCCCTTTGAATTCACTTGACAAGAATGGTAAGACTCTACTAGACTTCATTTTTTAATAATCTTACTGGTGTTTGTGAGGTTTTTTGCTCATATGAACTAAAATGTAGTAGCTAGCTAATGTGCAGATTTTACATATGGAGAACTTTGCATTTTTAGTATTGATTGGAACTTATTTAATATTACGAGTGCATTTAATAACACTTAAAATTGTACATCTATTAGTTGTAATTAAATGCTGTTTATGTGGCAGTTGTAATAAAAATTATATTTTTACACTACTTGTTATTCAAGATAACTGAATAAATATAAACACCAGTTCATGTCTATCTGAGAAATTATTGGTATCAAATACAGAATCACAGTAAAATTTTTGTAGTAAAGGACTTTGTATGAAACATCGTTCTTGGGTCCCAAATTAGGTTTCTCTGTTTCTGATTGCTCGCTTTTTGGAACATTGCCAAAACATCCCTAGGTGAATTAGATAAATGCTGAAATTGTAAAAACTAAAGATCCCAATTTTTAAATCATATCTATATTCACTCAACTTATTCAATAAATATTTTTTGACCACTTGTGCTAGGTATTAGATAATATGATGATGAAAAACATAGAAATAATGTCTGCACACATGAAGCTATGGTTATAATAATATATTATCTTTGACAGAAGTCATAGTTATGAAATAGATTAGATGAATTTTTGAGAAATTTACTTCAGCCCGGCCGGGTGTGGCTCAGTGGTTAAGCATCGACCTAGGATCCAGGCGATCAGGGTTCTATTCCCAGTCGGGGCACATGCCCGGATTGTGGGCTCGATCAATGACTCTCTCATCATTGATGTTTCTATCTCTCTCTCTCCCTCTCCTTTCCTCTCTGAAATCAATAAAGATATATTAAAAAAAAAAGAACGAAAGAAATTTACTTCAAAGTTTGATTTTTAATACTTTTTCTCCTTTGCAAAAATTTTAGTGACAACTTCAATAAAATGTGACTGCTTAAACATGTTAACAGTTCCTTCCTCACAAAACCCCTTACAAATAAAAGTCAAGGAGTAAATCAGCATGCACTGAAAAGGAAGAGAAGAAAATACCACCCAGATTTTAGAAGATGGACAGCAGAATACTAGTTGTAACCGATACTCACTTGTATTAAATTATCATCTTTCTTGCAATGAGTTTCTTTTTTGTTCATTCCCATTCTGTCTCCTTGGTTTTCAGCTTAAGCTAGCCTCCTCGGTCACAGTTGAATCCTAAACTAGTAATGTGAGAAGCCCCAAAGCAGGCTAATTTGTACCTCTGACCCCCAGAGAGGCTCAGGAATTGGGGGCATCAGATACCCCTCAAAGTAGGGGCGCAGGTGATACGGGACACAGGAGATTTGGTTAGAAGTCTAGTAGCCCCCAGATGTCATGTCTACCCCATTCACATAGGCGCCATGCCTTCCCTACCCTCGTGGAAGACTGAAAAGGTTAAATAGACTGTGGGCTCCAGGGCACTGAGCACAGCTGGGGGTTGGGGACACTGCGGAAACTAGTGGCGAAGGGAAAGCTGACACACTGGCCTGTGGAACTCCCAAGGCCTCTTCCTGCCACTTCGCTCTGGAAGCCATGGCTTCCTAGGTGGCATTTTGGAGGATTCCTCTCTGAGGCTCTGAGAACGGGAAGTCTGTAGACACTGTCAGCGGGTGGGTTGGCCGGTGAGCTGGTCTAGCCAGGTCTCCCTACAGACGCCTGCGACTGGGCCAGCCTAGCCCAGGCCACAGAAGCGTGCTTGTGATGATGTCACAGTTTCTTTTTATATTTTGATTTTAATATATTTCAATATAATTAGTTTTTTCTGCCATACTATATTTTTAAAAACACTGTTCTGCGAAGGGGTCTGTCAGCCTCAGTAGACTGCCCAAGGGTCCCTGGCATGTAGAAGATTTGGTGATCACCCTTTCCTCTCTCCAGGGAACCAGTCATACGTTCGCTCATTCACTCCATCAGTGTTTGGGGAGAACCTTCTACGTGCTAGACATTAGGCAAGGTTCTGGTAATGCAATGAAAAGAATCACTCTGTAAATCCTGTACTTATGGGCATGTGTGTCTGATCATTTGGCAGATGTTGGCCCTGGGGAACAGCAAAATGTTAGAAAACAAAACAAAAATGAACAAACAAAAATCAGACATGGATTGGAGTTGTTCGGTTTTAATACAGAATAGTCAGCTCTGCTGTGTGACTAAATCAGCCAGGTGAGTCCTCACAAGAGAGACTTGTGTTTCTGCTGGTCATGGCAACAGCTACTCCTCAGGGGCAGGAAGCCGTTCTCATCGGGTGCCATAATTTTTGAGCACTTAGTTGTTTAGGTGCAAACATGAAATACTGGGGTTCAATCTGAAGTGGAGAAGTAACTTGTAGATTCCCTCATTACTCACTGAGTACAGCCTAGTTGCATTTACTAATATAGTTATGTGTTGTCATGTGTTAGTAAGCTTTACAGTTCATCTCGCTTACCTGAAGACGACCAGCTCTTCGCCCTAGAGAACATGCTGTCACGTGAGCCTTCGGGTGTAACTCCCAGAGCTCAGGAAGCCGTCCTGAGTCCCCTAAAACTTTGTCTGATTGTCCTTTGCTTCTGATTCCACCCAGTACCTGCTTAGCCAGTTTTCCTGCCTAGATCCTTTCTGCCTTGAAAATATTCCCATCAAACGATTTCTCTTGTGATTAGCTATCGTTTCTTTCTGGTTTCACTTCTCAGCCCAACTCACTTACATTGAAACATCATTTCTCTTGGAATAAGTTTCTTTTTTGTCCATTCCTATGATACCTCCTTGGTTTTAGTTTAACTCAGTTAAGGAGCTGCTTCTTGGTTTCCACTTTCTAGAGAGATTCTATATCACTCTCTTTCTCTAACCTCTCTCCTTTTCACCCCCTTCCTTCCTCTTGGACCCTTTCTCTCACCATGTTAGCATTCCTAGCCTCTCCTGTCTTAAAAATTTTTTAATGGAGAGACAAATGGATGGATGGACTGACTGATAAGCAGATAGATTAAAGAAGACCAGTCTCAGAATCCCTTCCAGCTCGTGTCCTGTTCTCCTTTGTCAGAATTGGTTTACACTCTTTGCTCACCCGCTTCTGAGTCTCCTCCAGGTTGGCTTGCACCCCCTACCAATTAAAGGAAACCGTTCTTGCCAAGGTCACAATTGACTTCAGTTTTAGATGTTTTCAGTCCTCTTAGTTGACTACCTAGTAGTGTTGAACTGGAAACTGCCTCTCTCCTTGGCTTCTGTGACTCCAGGCTCCCCCGACTTTCCTTCTATCTCTTTGTCTTTTGTAGGCTTTCCCTCTTCTACCTGACAGTTCGATCCTAGGTTCTTCACAGTTCAGTGCTAGGTATTATTCTCTTTTTATACTGCATTCTGTCCCTGTGTGTTGGTAGTTCCCACATGTATATGGCCAAGCCTGACCTGGGCTCCAGACCCAAACATGCAAATAATGTATTTCCACTTAAGCTTCTCATAGGCTCCTGAAGTTCAACATTTAAAAAGCAGAGCTAATCTCCCCCCATCCAAATCTGCTTCTTTCAGTGTAACACACTTTTATGTGTTACAAACTCTGTCTTCATTTGCTTTGGGAAATATATTTCTATTTAAGTTTCAGAAACTTATTTTTTATATATGCTTGAAGTTCCTGTTCATGGTGTAATATTCATCTCTCTGTATATTTGTTAATTTAATAATTCAGCAAATATTTATTGAGTACCTACTATGTGCCAGGTGTTGTGCTAGACCCTAGAAATATGGTGGTGAACATGGCAAATTCATCAAATATTCATATAATTACTTAATGGTAAAGTATTTATTTAATTATGACATTTCTAATGTTTAATTTTGAGTTATTTTTTAAAATTATGAATTATTTCTAGATTACACTTTGTTAAACTGGATTGTATAAGGATAAAATTGATTTAGAAACCTTCAAAATCTTTTACATGATAAGGAACACTTTACAAATTTGATGCTTTTATGGATGTGTTTTTCTCTCAGCAACAGAATCTGATAAATCTCTTGAGGTTCTGAGAGCAAAGGGAGAGACATTGCTAAATATCTGCAGGCTGGTATGTGTCCTTCGTAGGATTTTATGAGAGTACCGTTTAGCAAACATTTGTTGAGTCCTTACTGTGAGTCATACAATCTGCTAGGTATTGGATATATGATTCTAATGGAAGACTTTAAAAACATCCAGGACATCTGTTCTTACCTATATATAAAGAAATGTCAAAGTGACACATTTATGTGCTATTAATTACCTTATACTTAAATATGGTACATGTATTCTCTCCTTTCATAATTCAGCATTGAGCACTTGAAAATGTTTACAACAGGTTATTAAAATGAATCTACATGGAGATAAATAAAACTAGAAGAAAACTAACATCCTCAGCACTTAAAACAGAGGTCGCTAAGATAGTTACAACTCGCTGCCATGTAGGTGCACTTCCAAGGAAAGAGTCTGTGCACTTGTGACTATTTTCTCTGTCCAGGAAATCGAAAAATGCGGCCTTTGCTCAGTTCAGATAATGTTATTCATTTAAATATTTTTTGAACATATAAGAGGCATGTTTGTATAGTGCAAAG